CCCCCCCGCCACATTTAGCAATCCCTCGTCTATTTTTCAGGTCTGCCCAGTAAAGGGGAAGTTTTTATATGCTGGAAACCACAAGGTAATGAGAGCCTGGACTGCCAAGCCACAGCGGGAGTGGGCTGGAAGGATGTGCTTACTTTTGTCCCCAAAGTGGTCCTCCCTCCTCGACTGGAGGCTAGGCTGGGCTCCTCAGGGGGAAAACGGGGCCAGAGGGCTGATGTGTAGTGGTATATGTGGTTTTTCCCTAGCGCAAGAAGTTCTCATGGGTCCTTCACCACCAAACTTCTCACGCAGGATGGAGAGCAGGACCGTGGATGAAGACTCGGTGCAGGAGCTGCCTCTCAGATGCTCTCCCGAAGCAGGTACGACTTCAGCCGATTTCTTGCTCCTTCCAGGGGAAGTCGGGCAAGGAGGAGAGGGAGACGCGGATGCTGCAGCTGAGGAGCCTGCAGTACCTGGAGCGCTACATCTACCTGATCCTCTTCAATGCCTACCTGCATCTGGAGAAGAAGGACTCCTGGCAGCGGCCGTTCAGCCTCTGGATGCGCGAGGTGAGGCTTTCCCCACCTAAGCTGCCAGCAGGACCTTGCTCCACCTCATATTTACGGGGTGCTGGGAAGCAGACCCCCATTTTTATTTTATATATGATTTTTGAATGGTTGTTGGGGACATCATATCCAGTTCCTTTGCTCCGGGTGAGCTCCCATCTCACTGTGCTGGTGGCTCTCGGGGAAAGCCAGGCAGGTCGCTGGAGACGGGTGGCATCCCAGTGCATGGATGGGGGTGCTCCCCCCACCCCAAACCTGCCCTTTTCTGAGTTTTTCAGGGTTTTGTTTCAATCTGCTAGTTGAGGTTACAGCTTCTGGGGGTGGGAGGCCACCAGCCAACCCCCCTGGGCTCCTCTACCTGGCTTGGCTGGCTCTCCTTGCACCCAAAACCACATTTAGTCTCTTTGCAGCATATTAAAAATACAATAGCCTGGCCAAACTGGTTGGGGAAGTGAAAGGAAAGAATAATTAAAAGCAGCCCCGCTTTGCCTTGCCTGGCTGGGGCGGGCGGCGCAGGGGTTGGAGGGTCCAGGGCGATGGGGATGCTGGCACCAGGCATCTGAGAGAATTGGGGGTCAGCTGAAAAAATGGAATAGGGAGTGGGTGAGACAGCCCAAAGTCTCCATATTTCCTGCTTTTTATTATTTTTAATTATTTTTATTAGCACATAGAGATTAGTTTTTCTCTCCCCAGTTTTGCGTGGTGCAAAGAGGACAGTGCCTGCCTTTGTGGGGAAAAAAACCTCATCCCTTCGCTCGCTTCCGTGAGCGCTGCTAATTCATATTGGCATGTTTGATCCGCCGGGCGGCAGATGAAAGCAGTGGCTGCCAGCTCTGCTCACCGCTCCCCCCCGCCCCATCTCGCTGGAGGGGACCAGGGCAAGGAAGGGGGGGATGGCCGGTGCCCACCCCGGCGCGGCATCCCGGTTATGCCGGTGTTTGCATTGCCCGGCGGTGTGGGGGGAGGCGGTGGCTGGGGCTGGATCATCTTTTAGTGGAGACATGGGATGCTCGCTGTTGGCTGCATGCTGGGTGTGTGGGTTTAAATGCTACATCTTTTAATGCTGCATCTTTAATACATGGGTTTACATTTGCCCCCTGCCCCCCTGTTTGCTGGAGGGGGGGAAATACACCCAACCTGCGGATACAAGGAGGCTTTGACCCCAAAAGCGCCCCTTCCCGCTGCATAATCCCTGCGTTTTTAGCAAAAACAAGGCACCATTGTAGCTTTTTGGCAGAAGGGTGCCAAAGCCAACAAACCCTGTGAAGGCTGACCCCAGCAGTGAGGAAGCAGCCTATGAAATGTATAAACTGTGGCTGGAGGAAAGCTCGGGGGGGCTGCGGGAGTGGGGTGGATACCTGGATGTGGGGAGATGCTGGGGCCCATCCCCGCGCATCTTCACCCAGGTGGCAAAAGCATCCCGAGGATGCTGGGGGAGTTAAATATCTCTTCTCCCTCTGTTTTCAGGTGGCGGCAGTGGCTGGGGTCTATGAGGTCCTGAACCAGCTGGGTTTCCCTGAGCTGGAGAGCCTGGAGGGCAAGCCCCTGTGCACGCTGCGGG